TATAAGTATAATTTAAATTGACTTGACTTCTGGGCTAAGACTCATAAAGTAGGTTAGAACTTTTCTTAAATCTTTAAAATAATAGCTTTCGTTGTGGCGATACTCCAAACTCAAAAATCTGATACTACTTGAACGATACATACGCTTGAGTAAAATATCTAGTGTAGTGCTAAATTGTGGAAAAACTAAATTTATAAAATTTATAATGCATACTTTAGATTTAAAATATTTCATCCAAAAACACTAGATATTCTATACGGTCGGTCAATTACACCCCATTTTAACCAACCCAAACAACCCCAAATGAGTCCTTAAAAAATTGAAATTTATATTCAACTTCAAAATTTAGGAATAATTACATACAAAGCAACCAAATCATTTTTATTTACAAAATTTAGTACCCATGTGATATTATTAAATTACCTAACCAATGTATTTACACGTGTCACGATCAAACCATTGAGAATGTAATAAAAATGAAAAATATGGGCTTTATCATCAATTTTGATATTTGAGTGACAATTTTAAAAAATGGATGAAAGAGAGTGTTAGATTTGTAAATAGCAATATTTTGATTGTTATGTATGTAATTGGCCCAATTTATCCACACATTTAAATAACCAAATAAAATATAAATAAATTTCACATAGATAAATATCAAATTATTTACCAAAGGACTAATTTACTCACAATCCTATACAAAAACCTTCAAAACTCTCTAAAAGAACATTTCCACCCTAAAAAAAAGACTTCATCTACAAATAACAAAATAAATCGTTAAATTGTTCACTAAAAAATCCTTAAAACTTCGAATGCCGAATGTAAAAATGAATGTTCGAACTAATATTTGTGCAACAAATTTAGCCTAGTGATTAGGTGTTCTATCTCCTCTAACCATAAATCATGAATTCAAAGCTTAAAATATACAACAAACATATACAACAACAACAACAACAAAGCCTTAATCCAACTGCGTGGGGTCGGCTGCATGAATCCTTTTTCTCCATTGCGTCCTATTTAGTGTCATATTTCATTTAATTCTAGTAAATTAAGATCATTTTTTATACAAAAAGCCCAAGCCTTCCTAGATCTACCTCTATCACGGATTCACGGATATATTCGTTTCGCATTTTGTTTCTAAGTGTATAGCCACTCATCCACCTAATCATTCTCATCTCGGCAACACTTATAAGTGTGCTTCTCTTTTAAAGACCAACATTCAACGCCATTGAGCATTGCAAGTCTCACCACAGTCTTATTAAATTTTCCTTTCAGTCTAAGCAATACTTTTCTATCACACAAAAGGCCCGAAGCATTCCTCCACTTCAACCAATACACCTTTTAATGATTTGATCATCCATAGTTACAACTCAGCCACTAGAGCTACTACTACTAAAATTACATTCCATGTATTCAGTTTTAGTTCTACTCAAACGAAGGCCTTTAGACTCCACCTAAGCGTTCTCATCTCAGCAGCATTTAACTTTGTTTTTTGTTTCTCTTTTAAAAACCAACATTCTGCAGTGTAGAGCATTGCAGGTTTCACGGCCATCTTATAAAATTTTCCTTTTAGTCTAAGTGGTACTTTTTAATCACACAATAGGCTCGATGCATTCATGCACTTCAAACAACCAACTTGAATTAAACTAATAACATCACCATTTATATCACTATCACTTTAAATAATAGACATGAGATATCTAAACATTTACACCTTTTAATGATTTGATCATCCATAGTTACAACTTAGCCACTAGAGCTAATACTACTAAAATTACATTCTATGTATTCAGTTTTAGTTCTACTCAAACGAAGGCCTTTAGACTCCAATGTAAACCTCTATAATTCAGGCTTTTCTTAAACTCTTTCTCAACACTTATCCACAAGAAGGAAGTCATCAGCGAAAAACATACACCAAGGTACATCCTCCTTTAAATGTTCAGTAAGAGCATTCATAACTAAAGCAAAAAAGATATGGGCTTAAAGTCGATCTCTGATGTAATCCAACTAAAACAAGAAAATACTTGGTCAATCCTCCTGTTCGAACACAAGTAACAACTCTAGTACATATATCTTTAATGCATGAATATAAATCATATCAATACCTTTCTTTTCTAGAACACTTTAAAAGACTTACTCATGAAACCTTATCGTAAGCTTTTTCTAAATCAATAAAATCATATGTAGATCCTCCTTATTCTCTCTTTACTTTTCCATTAAACCTCTCAATAAATTTATAGCTTTCAAAGTAGATCTACTCGATATAAATCCAAATTGATTATGAGAAATCATTGTATCTGGTCTTAACCTATGTTCAGTTATCCTCTCCCATAATTTTGAAGTATAGCACACCAACTTAATTCTCTATGATTTACACATGCTTGTGCATCCCCTTTATTCTTAAAAATGGGGATCAAATACTCTTCCTTTACTCAGGTGTCTTTTTAGTTTTTAAAATAATATTAAATAGTTTAGTAAGCCAAGAAACTCACAAGTCTCCTAAATATTTCCACACTTCAATTGGGATATATATCATCAGGTCCTAAAGACTTTTCACTCTTGGTTTTCTTTAAAGCCTCCTCAACTTTTTTTTTGCTAATGCGACGGTAGAAACAACGATAAAAATAAAACATTTTATTATTATTCACGATATTAAGATCACTATGGTCGATCTTATTTTTAAAAACTTTATTAAAAAGTTTATCAAAATAACTCACTCATCTATGTTGAATATCTTTTTCTAAGAAAAAAACTTTTTGATTATTTAATTTTTCTTCCCTCTTTGTTTGTCTAGTTTATACATATATTTTTCACCCTCCTTAGTATCTAATCTATTATAAAGATTATTAAAAACAAAATTTTTAGCGTTGCAGATTGTTTTTTTAGACTCCTTGCAGACCGTTTGATATTTTTCTCAATTCTCTAAGCTTTTACATTTAAACAAATTTTTATAACATAACTTCTTATATTTTATATTTTCTTGCACATTATTATTTCACCACCAACTATTTTTATTTATAAATTTTTTTTCTTTTGATTCTCCAAGAACATCTTTTGCTAATATTTAATAGTGTTTGTTACTTTATCCCACATAACATTTGTTTCTTCATGAATATCCCAAATTTTAAAATCTTGAATTTTACTCATAAAAACAATTTTATTTGTCTTTGGGGTTCCCCTATCTAATTCTATGAATATGAGTCATAGTATTCTTTATTTTACAACTCTTCATCTTAAAATCTAGAACTAATAAACGATATTGGGTACTTAAATTCTCACTTGAAATGACCTTAAAATCTTTACAATCTCGACGATCGTTTCTTCTCATAAGAAAATAATCAATTTGTGTTTTATTAGATCCACTCTTATAAGTAATAAGATACTCATCTCTTTTCTTGAATAAAGTATTAGTAATAACAAAATCATTCGCTAAAACAAAATCTAAAATAGTTCTACCCTCTTCATTAGTTACTCCAAAACTGTAGCCACCATGAGTATATCTGAAGTCTTCTACCACTCTACCGACATGTCCAATTAAATCTCCTCCAATAAAAAATCTTTTTTCAAGAGGTATTATTTGTATTATGTCTTCTCAGTCATTCCAAAATTTATCTTTAAACCCTGTATCTAAATCTACTTGAGGAGCATAAGCACTATAATAATAAAAATCTTAGTATCAATGATAATCTTAAGGGCTATAACTCTATCACCAACTCTATAAATATTTATAACATATCTTTCAAACTCTTATCAACAATTACACCTACACCATTTCTAGTGCGACTCTTACCAGCATACTTTGAAACCTAAATTTGAAACCTAAATTATCAATCTCTTTAGTCTTTTCTCCAACCCATTTAGTTTCTTGAATACATAAGATATTAATTTTCCTATGAATCATAATATCAACTAATTCCATTAATATATCCTTGAGAGTATTTATATTTCAAGATCTTATCCTAATATTAGTTTCATTACTTTTATGGACTAACTTTTTTACCTGCATTCGTCCGTAATGTGGGAACTCTTGCTTATTTGACACTACACCCGGGCGCCGGTATAGTGACCCTTCTACACTTTTCACTGTATTTAGGCTATAGAGCGCGTCGCTTTCAATGGATGCCCTAACACTTACACAATGATTAAAATGATTATGTTATGAATTTTTTCGACAAGTTTTACGCTGGTTGTCGACTACCTAACACAACCCTCCACTTTTCACGTCTGGGCTTGTGACCAACAATGACAATGTTGTATTCTAGGGGTGCAACACGAGGACTTAGACTTCCCAGGAGGTCATCCGTCCTAGTAATACTCTCGCCCAAGCATGCTTAACTGTGGAGTTCTGATGGGATCTGGTGCATTGGTGCTGGTATGGTCGCACCCATACAACAAGCATATACGCATTCCTTAACAAAACAATAATGTTAGAATCATTGTTTGAATTTGAACTGTTTTTCTTTAACATGATCGTCATTTGTTTTTCATTCAACAATATTGACCAAGAAATTATAGAAACTTCTCTCACAACATTGAATGGTGTCCATCAAAAATTTCTTCCAGTCTTTTGAAGTTTTAAAACATATTTCAGGAAGGATTTCTCACACTTTGAGAAATCAAATGGAAGATAAAATAAGAAATCTCACAAACCTTTTTGATACCTACCGTTTCTGCTCTGCAATTGCCAACATTATGTTTTGGCAGTGTACCCAACAGAGAATGTTGAAGCCACCTACTGTGGTACTGCAGAGGCCTATTTAAAAACATAGAAGCCCACAATTTTTATGTATTTACATATTTAACATAACGTTAATATTAACTGAAAAAATGTTAGTGACAATTGAAATGTTAATAAGGATTTGCATATTAAATAAATAAATACATAAGAGTTGTGTAGAATCTATGTATATGTGTTAATATGGCATACAATAGCATCATGAAAATTATTTAAGGGAAAAAAAAAACTTAGCCAAGGACAATAAAATATTTAAAAGAAAAGGTCCTCAACAATATATCACATAAAAATACAAAATGAATTCTACACAATTATATATAATAGCAATTTGCTCTCATGGAAAGCCTTGAAGGAAGAAAGAATAGAGAAATAACGCTGAGATTACAAACAACAATATTTATATGTTGAGAGGAAAGGGGTAAATTGAACCAAACCAAGCTTACACATACCGCGTAGGACTCTTTTGCTGAAGAATCTTCTAAAACAAAATAGCATGTAAGGTAAAAATTCTTTTCGGAAAACAAAACTGAGAAAATCAAGGGTCTTTGTATGAAGATTAGAATGTGATCTCACTTGGTGCATGAAAAGTTCTTCCTCGGCATATGGATTCCAAGTTCTCACCAGAATAGGAGGCGAGGGGAGATATTTCAACTCCTAGAACAACAATGCGCAACATTAGCTGGTTACTAGAGAGGGAGAAGAGAGAGAATTCCTTGCCAAATGGAAATCAAAATAAAAAAATTTTGGTTGCTGAAAACCTGATCAAACTTATCTTTTGATTGAAAGGCACATGCTACTAATAATTTTTCATATGCAGCCATTTGAGAAAAAAAAAAGGATTATAAAGAATAGAATTTTTTTAATTTACTTTATTTCAAATTTGTTCGTTGGTTTTATTACTTTGCGTTACAAATTTAATATTGAAATCATTTTTCAAATTTCAAAGTTCTGTGAGAAGTTTATTAGATTTTGGATCGTTGGATGATGGATGCCTTAGTCCTCCATTCAAAACCATTATTACAAGGAGACAACGGGATTTATATTTGAAAATACCTAATAAATTAACTCCCAAACGTTTGCTGATGATTTTGCATGACTTTGGGCAATGTTCCTTTTATCGAAATATACCGAAGTTAAAAATTGCACGTGTGGGAATTTTGAGATGATTTTATATGATCTAAAATAAATAAATAGCCATGATTTCTACTGGGCAGAATATCCAACATCTTTTTAAAAGTAATGAGAAATTTATATGGCATGACACCAACACAAAAGAAAAAAAAAACTAATAAAACGAGTAGTGTCCCTTCACCCCATTTTAGTCCTGGAGTTCAAAAGAAAAAAAAAAACTAATAAAACAAGTAGTGTCCCTTCACCCCATTTTAGTCCTGGAGTTTATAAAAGTACTAAATTAGTCCCCAAAATATTTTAACGGAGGCTAAAATGGTCATCATTGAGATCTAATTGAGATCTATTTCAACCCATATATTTAAAAAATATAGGTGCAAAATTCATTCTTTTATAAAGTAACGGGACAGTTTTGACATTTTCCTCTAATAAGAATACCGATACTATAGATGCTAATTTGGCGTACCCGTCAAATATAAAGGCACTGAATGTGTTAAGAATCCTCCCGCAGCAACCACCCAACGACTATGAAGACGTAGAATCGCTAATCTCGCGCTATCAGGAGTGTCATAGCTTGCACCATTCGCATTCTTCACGGGTGCAAATTCCTCCTCGCGCAATACCTGTTTTACTTAATCATTAGCAGACTGATAATCTGAAAACAAAATCAGTTTAATTCAGATTATTTGTTTTTTTATTTGTTTATCAATGAACAAACCTCAAAGAGTGCCACAGAAGGAGCATATGTAAAGGCATCAAATATAAACTGCTCAAGCTTTATACCCATGGTGGATCCATGGATGGACAGAATTTTCTTTTCAGCTATATGGTAGCTGCATTCATGGAGAAAGACACATTAGATATCGCATGGAGAATTATGGGAGTTGGAATAATTTATCAGAAGGCTTATAGAAACATTAATGAACGGGCGGCACGCCCAAAAAACAGCAAAATAACTAAGTTTAAAAATAAATTCTGACGCAATGAGAATTAAGTTTTTACTTGATTGACACACATCATGAAAAAAACAGTAGCGACTAGATCAGGAGATTAATATCAATAGCAAGATTACTCTTGTAAAAATACAAATGCATGAAGTACCTTCCATCAAATACATAAAATCAAACACTGATTTTGAGGAGCCAACAAGGATTCAACCATTCTACTTTTTTTTGGCCCACTCGAAAGTTCATAAAATGAGAATTTATTACTGTGAAGACGAGGATCGAACATGAGACCTTAATAATTTCCATTTGAGGAGCCAACAAGGATTCAACCATTCAACTTTTTTTTGGCCCACTCGAAAGTTCATAAAATGAGAATTTATTACTGTGAAGACGAGGATCGAACATGAGACCTTAATAATTTCCAAATCCCTTATTAACGGGACTAAATTATTCGCATAAATTGAACTAATCAGCTTGGATCACACACAAGCCTAATTTAAGAAGCTCCTACAACCAGGAGAATTAGATTTCTAGCAGTATCAGCCTTGAGCTTAAGAGCTCCATCCATAAAACTATCACCTCTAGTTTACCATGGATCTCAAAGATAATGTATCTCACTTCTCCAATTTTTGATAGAGTAGAAGACAAAAATACACATCACCTCAGAGTATCAACATTCCACATGGCTCTCAGAGGCGAAGAGTCTTCACCATCCACCATCCACCATCCACCATCCATACTTGCAAAAAATTAAACTATCATTCACTCTCACCTCTATAAATGCCTCTTTCCTAAGGAAGATAAAAGACCCTCATTATCACTCACTACCCTCACTACCCTAAAGAAGAAATTCCGAAAAATCCATTTCAGTGCTTAATTCACCTTTAAAACCAACACTAAATTGAACATTCCATTGGGATTGGTCCTCTGAAGTCTTTTTTTACTAATAGTGTAGGACACAATATTGAGTTAAAGACGACCCTAAAATCTCATATCACTCGAAGATCATTTTCAACATGCAACATTTGGAGTCAAATATGTGAAACCTTATCATCATTGCTGATTGGTGCAACCGTAACTAGTTGTCTTGCATCTCATTGCAAGGATCTACAATCCTTTGTCCAAATCCAAGAAGGTTAGTGATGTGAGCCAAAACGGATTTCCAAAGACATTAGGGCAAAACAAAATATTTAATTTCAAGAACTCAAACACAACTCAAATACATAAAAGATAAGCACCTACAATTTGAGAGGAAGGCGATCTCTCCCAAACCCTAACCCTAGCACCCACAATTCGAGAGAGAGAGTAGATCTCTCGCAAAACCCTAACCCTAAGACTCAAGACCATGATCTCATAGCGTACGCTAACCCTAAGCATAATAAGCCCTATTTAAACCCAACAATAATAACAAAAAAAAACAAATGCCCATAGGCGCTGGCGTAAAAATACTCCCCTTCAAGATGAAAAAAAAAAATGAAATTGTTGTTGGATCAAGTAATATGGCTCCCACTCATAGAAAAACTTGAGTTTGACTCTCGCCATCTGCACTTGATTGAAATAAGTGATGGATCGTTGATAGTGCATAAGGAGTGCGCATAATCCATAGTCTGAAACATTTGTCTCTAGAATGAAAGATTGGTAAAAATATGATAATGCCTGCATTGGTATACAGTCTAGGTTGCCACCTTTTCTCATTGAAAGTTATCATTCTTCAGTTTCTCTGCCAACGACCACACAATTAAATTATAACCCTTCACAAACTTTCAGCAGTATCCTGAAAGTCCCTGAAATCATCTCAACTCCTTCATGGTGTCAGAGGTAGTAGCCACTTCAAGAGAGTTGTCACCTTCGATGTACCTGCCAACACCAAGATCTTGCACATACTAGGGTCACTGTGAAACCCCCCATCTTGTATCCCTGTTGAATACTCAACAATGTCAAAATCAATCCCTTAAAAATTGTCTTGCTCTTCTCCACTTGTCTTGTACCCATCATTACTCGTGAATTGCCGTCCAACCGAAAGAATGCCACAAAGAAAGACACTAGCACATTTGGATGCAGCCCTCTACTGGTGTCCCACCTACCATAATTTCCTATTCCAAGCTGAAATCCTTCAAATCGACCTTCAGCCCAGAATTGTCTGTTGTCCCGTTTTGCCTGTTGTCGCTCATTCCAAACCTCCATATGTCAAGCAATTCCTCCAGATGCTACTGATCGAATTGGCTCCTGACTCCTTCGCTTGGTCGTACCAGTTTACGTTTGTTCCAGCCCTTCCAAATGTCCTGCTATTTCTTCCAAGAGTTGTCGCTCGCATCCATGCTCGACACTGTCGCTCGATCCCGCGACAGGCGACTTTGTGTGAAATTTTACGATTTTCAACCTTTCTTACAGGACTGTGATCTCCCCTCCATCATCCTCTCCGTAGACGAGAGCAACCCCTCCATGGATGAGAAACGCTCCTCTATTTCTTACATAATTTGACTCACTTCTCCTTCTACTTTCTCCTCCAGAGCCCCTTTTTTTTTGGCTGACATTAATCCCTGGGTGATTTTCGATCACAGAAGAGGAAATCCTGCATGTCGTGATCCCGTAGTAAGCAGTGATCTCGTGACATCCCAAATCGGCAGGTCGTAATCCTCGATCTTGTCCCTAGCTTCCCAGATCGTGCGAATGCAAAACTCAAGTACGTGATCCATTGTTGGCTTCCTAGCTATCTCGTGTAGTGTTGTATTGTAGAGGTTTTTGGTGATCTCAATGTTGGCTTCGCACTTGGCTTTTAAAGCAATTGTATCGTTCGGTCACCAAGGAGATGTGAGGCTACAAATCACGAAGGGAAGGGGGTGGGGAATCGTGATCGTTTCTTTGGCATGCGTGGTTCGATCCTCTCCTTGTATGTCGCAATTCGTCAGCACCTAGCTAGCAATCACAATTGTTCCTGACTAAGGTATGCATTTGTTGCTTCCCTGTACTCGTCGATCTTTGGTCACAAAGACAACTAATATATGACGATATCCTGTTGGACTTCCTAGCTAGCTCAACTCGTGTAATGTATCACGAGGTTTGGTCATATTTGTATGTGTCGATTCCGTCGTTGGCATCCGGATATTTCAAATTATAGCTCAATTGCAAGATACAAAGTCGTGCAACAATGAATAGTGAAAGCTCCGACAGGTGCCTTGAGGGAGAGATGACCATCATAGCCAATGTGCTAAATCCATCAACAAGCCACTACCCCTGACAGTCAAGTCTCTTCAATAAGGCAGTTTATGTTCATTGTGCCTTGAGGGATGCGACAATAAAAAAGAGGCCTCAATGAATGCAAAAATAAGCCCATGTTTTAATAAAATTCATGTTTCATCTGAAACTGGTATGCATTATTGATTTAAATTCTTCGACCGTGATGTAGATCTTAACAAAAACCTGAAGATAAGTTTTCTCTTTATACTAATTTGAGGCCTGGAGTAATACTTTAAATGATTGCCCTTTTTTGACCTCGCTTTTCCTTTAAATTGTGAGTTTGCAAGTGATTGAGATTTGCTCAAGAATGCTATAATATATATTTCCTTTTTTTTTTCCTTTGTTCTCAGGTTTCTTGTGAATTTTATATTTTTTGACAATTTTTTGGTTATCATTTGGCAAGAGTTTGGTGTCCTCTGATTATGCCTCAAAAGTGATGTTTATGTCCTCTAATTTTGTGCATCTCATTTATCTTTACAATAATAAATCCTAGCTCCTGAGTCATCCTCCATCAAAAGCCTTATGAAGTAAATTTTTATATAACAAGAACGGAAATTTTAGGGCATTTCCAAAAACATCACATTGTAGAAGTATGAAAAAGGTAACAGATGCAATCATAAACATGTTGATAGTCCATAGCGATCCATTTTAAAGTTGAAACATAAGATATTAAAACAAAGAAGATAACTTACATGCTGTCTTTTTCAAGAGCATGTGCCACTTGGTTTAGGAAATCAAGAGTAAACATGTGCAAGCATACCTGAAAGTTTATAAATCAAATTTCAGAACTAATTCCATTTAAAAAGATTTCCAGAAAAAAAAAATCATGGAAACCATTTTTTAAAGGAAGAAAAAAACAGCATGGATTGTGATGGGTAGAATTTTGATGGCAGAATTGTAGATGTTTGGACTTGAGCATTGGCATTGACCCATCTTATCGCATAATGAGTCAAAAATAACGAAAAGAGGACGTCTAGCAAATTTTCTCAGAAGCCTGAAAAGGAATTTAACTAGGAAGAGAACCCTTTCTTTAGTGCTATGATTTACTTAGTTATACATGATCAATAAGGATGCTAAAATATCTATCTATGTTGTGGTTTCTTAAGTGCAGTTTCGCCCTTTCTCAATGCGAACCCCGGTCTAATTGGGGACCGGTCCTTGAGAAAGGGCGAGACTGCCGCTCACCCTCTCCGCCTTCATTTTCTGCTTCTCTATGGGATTTTGAAGGGGCAAGACTGCAGCTCGCCCTCTCGCCCTTCAGGAGCTATTTATTTACTGTTTTCAGAGTTAGGGTTAGTTTTGTTGTTGTGTGTTGTTTTCAGATTCTTTTGTGGAGCTACTCTCCCTGTTCTAGGGTTGTATTTCAGAAGATGGTGGTGCTACAGTTGTATCATTTCCCTTTCACATTCTCCAATCCTTCTCCTCCCCTCTCCTTAGCAGCCGGCCTCCCCCTCCTTCATTCCTGCACCCAGGCGCCCCAAACCTGCAGCCTTATTTTTTTGTCCAGCCATCCTCCATCCTACCCAACACTCTCAATCGACTGGTCCTCACCCAAACACCAATGGCCTTGCTGTCCAGCACCTTCCAGCCACCCCTCTGCCTGTTGTCGGTCACCTACGACCCTCCATAGTTATTACCCTGCAATGCTGCACATTCCCCTCGCTCTCATCAGCATTCCTTTGCTTCCACCACCGGGTCAACCATCTCAATCCACCTAGCCGATCTCCACCGCCCTTGGAATACACCTTAGAAGTGTTTGCTTGTGACATTTATGTTTTGTGTTGTTATTTTCTGTTGTGTTGTGTTATAACCCTCTCTCTACAATAATAAAAGTTCAATTTGAGTTTTTCATTGTTTTACCTACTAATTCCGGTATCATTTGGTATCAAAGCTAGATTAATTCTAGTCCTATCGTATGGTTTCCTAGCATCTGTCTTCCCCTCCAACAAATTTTTCCTTACTATTCCAAACCATAGCCCAAACCCCAAATTCTATTTTGCTGATTTTCAAAATAAGCAAACCCAAATAGCTTCTCTACACCAGCAATCAATCGCACACACTGTCATTCACCTCCACCCAACAATTTTCCTCCCAAAACCCAAACCCAAACCCAAACCATGCCACCAAAGAGGAATATGCTTGAGCCTATCTAAGATGAGATACGACAAGAGCTCCGTCGACTTCAACAAAGGTTTACAGAAATTGAAGAGTTAACACAAGAAGAGGTTACTCTCGACTGAGGTCTGGAGAGTCGAAGGGGAGAAATAGATGAGGATCGGAATCCATTTAATAGGGATAATTTCAGCGACGAAGAAGAAACATAACGAAGTTTCAGAATCCACTATTAGAGGACGCCTACAGCGGGATATCTGAATCCCCCTCAGAGGGAGACTCGCTGAGAGGAGATGTCACCTGGAGGACACAAAGACTTCGACATCAAAATAGATCTGTCAGAGTTAGAAGGAGGTATGGATCTCAAGGAATTCATTGATTGGTTGCAAACGATTGAACGGATCTTCGAGTATAAAGATTATCATGGTCATCAAGTTGAAAAAGAGTACTTCTCTGTGGTAAGAGAACATACAAAGACAGAGAAAAAGAGAGGACAACAATAAAATTACCACATGGGAGAAGAAGAAAAAAACAATGCAAAAAAAAAAACCTCTCACTTCTTTACCATCAGGAATATGTTTCTGAGGTTCCATCACCTGAAGCAAAGGGCTCTATCAGTAGAGGAGTTCACGGAGCAGTTTGATCATTTACAGATGAAGTGTGATATAACGGAACTCAAGGAGAACACAACAACCAAATCTTTGGAGCTTGAAGCCTAGTATTAGCAATGTGATGCAGCTACAACCATACTGGACGCTAGGGGATGTCTAGACACTAGCCCTGAGGTGAAGAGGCAACAGAAGCAGACCAAACAACAGTCATCCTTCAGGCAACAACCATCAGGTAGGCAGTTTCCTATAGTTACAACGATCGACAAAGGTACCCTAGGAAACACAAGCAAGCCCGGACAAGGGAGTGACACTTTGGATCATAGCTGAAAGAAAAGGGAGAGGTAGCTCCTCCAACACAATATCAGCACGAAAGTGTTCCAGATGTCACGACTACAGTCATATAGCTTCCATCTGTCCCACAAACAGAGTAGTCGCTCACAGATCAGGTTGCCATGGAGGAGTGTAGCGACGAGGGGAAAACTGAGAAACAGGGTGAGGTGTATCAGCTTCCACCAAACGAAGGAGAGACTCGTGATTCAACAGATCTTGCAGACTGAGCACGAGGAATTCGCAGTGGCTTTGCCACAATATTCCTCTACACCCACAGTGACTGGAAAAATATGCAGTCTTATCATCGACGACAGGAGCAGGAAGAACGTGGCATTGACTCAGATGGTAGAGAAATTGGGATTTACGACTCAGAGTCATTCCCAACCATACTATTGTCATGGCTAAAAGAGGATTGGATTAGCATCGACCAGAGATGTCTGGTAGAGTTCTCGATCAGAGACCAGCTACAAAACTGAGTGTGGTGTGACATGGTCCCTATGGTTGTCTGTCACCTTCTATTGGGACGACCACAACAGATTGACTAGAGGACCCAACATGATGGATTCAAAAAAACCTATTCATTTACCAAGGATAGAAAGCACATCATTCTGCTTCCTTCGGTTGAGCCTGAGGTCACAGGAACCCTTACCAATATAGTCGCGTCAGTAGGGTCGATTCTAATGACAACATAAGATGAAAGGACCGAGACAATGGCTCCAGACATGGGGACAGTTACGCCAGAGTGGATGTAAGGACGTCAAAGTTGACACTGTACCACCAGCTCCACCATTGGACAGGAAGATGTAGGCTACTCTCACTGCACTTTAAGTTGACCCGATCATGGTTTACCTTGAGAGGATCCAGCATGCATGGATCGTAGTCCCAGAGGAGCACATCGATAAGAACAAGTGCACTCAAGTGAACCGACTTCTTAGATGCTTTGGACAACAGTACAACCAACAGTGGGACCAAGTGTCGTCATGATTGGAGACAAGGAATCATAATCTTTAATAAATGAGGTTGAAGCTCGCCCAACCACGGGAGAATAATGTGAAGTGGGACCTCTCCCATGTGGATCAGGCAACAGATGTGGCCACCCCGTGCCACCCCCCTACGCGATCTAATTTAGGACCGGTCCGGGAGGAACCCATACAAAGTGGCTTGGGGCAAGACTTTGATGAGGTGAGGTTGCCACTCGCCCTCTCCTCCTTTTATCTTCTGCTTCTTTGTAGGATTTTGATGGGGCAAGATTGTCGCTCGCCCTTTCCCCCCTCCTTTTATGCTTTTCCTTCACATAGGAGCTATTTATTTGTTGTTTTCAGAGTTAGGGTTAGTTTTTGTTATTGTGTGTTGTTTTCAGATTCCTTTGTGGAGTTGTCCTCCCAGTTGTAGGGCTCTATCCAACGAGTGCATTTTACGTACGTCATACGCAAGCAGAATTGCGTGCGTATGACCCTTAATAACCATCCAATAACTCAGTTATTGGGAGTTATTCAGAGGTTATTGGAGGTATTAACCTCAATAACATCTCGATAATCTCTCAATAACCTACCAATACATTTCGCGGTTCGACGCTCATCTTTTTTCTTGTCATTCGAGG